TCAATCCTGTCTTTACTACTCAACCACATACATGGGAAAGTATTATTTTTAATTTTCATAAAATATGTAAGGGTGAAAGAGTGAATTTGACTTCGTCTTGTGTGGAAATGGGAGGGGATCAGGAATAAATCCCGGCCACAAACGTCTTTTGTCGTGAGACTATTATGAGTACAAAATCAGATTCATGGATAAATGTAATTGAGATATCGAATTGAGACGTTTTCCACAGAAATTCGAGTATCAATTTTGCAGTTTCAAGCAATTCTTGTGGTAGAATTGCATCCGAACCATTCAATCAAGATTTGATCAAGTTCGATTGTGGAGTGACTCAATTTAGAACAAGGTTTCCAAATTTTGCTTTTACATCTTCCTCGATTCGACGTGGGAGGTAATCTAATCCTAGCCTTATATCTCTTGTTGATCCGAATTTTATATAAGGAGTTTAATTACTTTGATTCAAAGTTTCTTATTTCAATAAAAACTTGAATCATTGGCGGAGGATTAGGGGTGTCTTCTCATAATCCTCTTATTTTCACCCGAAGAATCTATAGAGACGCGAATGAGAAGAACTATTTATCCATCTATTACCAAATTTATGTTTGAAAGGTAAGGTTAGAGATCTAAAATTTTCCACTTTACTATCTAAAATTTTCAGAAATGGTTCCAGTTTTTTTTTTTTTTTTTTTAATGTCAACCACAGAATTTAAATCGAATGAACTATTTTAAACCTCAACGTTGGTAAAATTTCAAACCTGTCGTGTTAGCCACTCAACCACATAGACATTGTAAAATATTATTTTTAATTTCATAAAATATGTAAGGGTCAAATGGTCAATTTGACTTCATCTTCGATGGAAATGAGAAGGGATCAGGAATAAATTCCCGCCACAAACGTTTTTCGTCGTGAGACTATTATAAGTACAAAATCATATTCATGGATCAATGTAATTGAGATCTCAAATTGAGACGTTTTCCTCATAAATCTGAGCATCAATTTTGCAGTTTCAAGTCATTCTTGTGGTAGAATTGCATCTGAGCCCTTCAATCAAGTTTAATCTAAGTTCAACTGTGGAGTAACTCAATTTAGAACGTTTTTCAAATTTTGCTTCTACATCTTCTTCGATCATGGAATATAATTATATCTCTTGTTGATCCGAATTTTATATAAGGGTGTTAATTACTTTAATTCAAAGTTTTTTGCTTCAACAAAAACTTGAATCAGATGATTAGAGATGCCTTATCATAATCCTTTTATTTTCACACACGAAGAATCTATGGAGAGGGAACTGAAGGAGAAGAAATATTTATCAATCTATTACCAAATCTACGTTTGAAAGGTCAAGGTTGAGATCTAAAATTTTCATAAATGCTCCCGTTTTTTTTTTTTCAAAAAATGTCAACAACAAAATTGAGACGGAACGAGCTATTTCAAACCTGTCGCCTTAGCCACTGAACCACATCGACATTGTAAAATATTATTTTTAATTTCATAAAATATAAGGGTCGAATGGTCAATTTGACTTCATCTTCGATGGAAATGAGAGGGGATCAGGAATAAATTCCCGCCACAAACGTCTTTCGTCGTGAGACTATTATAAGTACAAAATCATATTCATGGATCAATGTAATTGAGATGTAACGACCCGAAATTTTCCACTTAATTTAAGGTCGCTACTGTATACATACCATAAACATTGAATGCGGAAGACTTCATTTAAATTCCATAAAACATAACCTTTAACTTAAAAACACAGCCATGGACTTACGTGTTTCGAAAACATCTTTAAACGACACAACAAAAGACCCGAAATAAAATAAATAAGCGTTTAAGTTTAAAACATCCTATTCTATCCTAAGTCTAGGAAAATAAGTACCACTAGCCTATGCATGTGCCATGATCTCGAGTTGCGATGCCGTCGTCAGCCGTACAGGAATGCCTTGCCTTAACCTGAAAAATGTAGTAGCACATGGCCTGAGTATTTAAAGAAATACTCAGTAAGTGACCCCACTATTGGGGTTAAATGCAACAATCACATGCAATGAAATGATGGGACCTATCTTTCGTTTCGTTTCGTTTCGTTACGTTTCTTTTTCGTTTCGTTTCGTTTCATTTCGTTTTCCCAACGGTGTAATCCTAACAGGTAATCGTGGACGTGTACCATATACTCTACACGCAGCCCATACGTGCGAGTATGGGCTCACCAGCTAGTTCGCACACCGCTGGGCCACTGTCCCTAGCCGGTGGGCATGCTCTGGGGGCCCACCGGGACCCGTTAAAACTAAAACCGTCACGGCAGCGCTATGCGGAGCATAACGATCGTTGTCCTGCCATTTGGATGTACGCGTCCGTACCCTCGTGATGGGATAGGGGTATCCCCCCAAATGCATGAACACACAATATGCATGAGGTCCCACTAGTCCTACAGTCATCATTTAATGAGCATAACCCCGCGCCACGTTTTCATGCTTACATGTCATTCTCATTCTCATTTCGTTACGCGTATCATACATATTCCTAGCGGGGTTATGTATCGTGCAATTTACCGTATTTCATGCCATACAATTCATTCAGTTACATTCCAATACCCATACAACAAGCCATAATAGTACAAGGGCCACACATCGTCACATGCATTCATATCACATCAACTAAGCAGCATAAACAACATACATTCACGTTCACATGATTTCGTACTTGAGCACAATAATCTAGCATACAATGGATCATATCATAACCAAGTCATAACGTAAACACTTCATAGTCATATCGTTCTCTAACTTACCCTAGCTTTAACGTTCTTATACCTATCACAGACATATCATTACGTGACGTACCTTAGTCATATCATCACCAGAACGTATCCTAACGCCATCGTTCTATCAATCTATCACAAACCTATCCCTTTCTACCCATAACCTAACCGTATTCTTTCATCAATCTCTCCTATCCATAGCACTCCGGTATGTAACCTAACCTAACGTTTCGTGAACGTATCTTACTCCTATCGTTACATTTTGTTTTGTGCATCCTTCTCATATCCTATCTCAAACATCTCCTAGAGCACATCGTACCATAATTATTATCATACAATCCACATATTATATAGCATAACATAACATATAGGAAGCAAATCGATCCACAGACAATTCACACATATCAATATATATGACGCGTGCCGAACCACAGGGCACGTGTCAACATCAAATATAACCATGCCGATAGTAAGGTCACTTACCTGGCTAGCTTAAATCGTTGTCACAAATATATCTTTAATGAAAGTTCGATTCCATCCTTTGAAATCCGAGTCAACCTATATGAGTTCATGACATCAGTTTCAAGTTTGAACTCTATAAAGTTATTTCTCTAATTTAGATTGACCATCGTAAAATTCTGATATTTAGTGTTAGACAGAATTTAAAGGAGCTCACTAGAATTCAAAGGAGCTCACTACACTTGATATTTCCCTGTTTTACTTTTAAATCCTGTTCAACAAATCTTTCCGCAATCTTTCCTCTTCTTCTGTAATTATTTTTAAGAAGGTATTATTCAATTTTGTTAATCTATTTCTACTTCTCAATCTTTCCTTTTTATCTTTATTATTATTTTTCTTTTCAGTTCTGTATTTCTATCTCTATCTCATTCTCTCTTATTTCCTTTGTCTTCTTTCTGATTTAGTTAACAATTATATTCTTAGCTTTTAATTTAACCACTCATTTGGTTATATTCTTTTCCTATAATTCATATCAAATTACAACCTAAATCATTGCAACAATGCAGTAGATCTAAATCATTGCGACAATTTAATAGATCTAAAATATAATTGGTTTTGATTTCCTAAACTCATACCGAATTCTTTTCATTTAATCTCTGATTCAAAACTAAATAATTGTAACCAAATTAATATTATTTAATAAAATAAAAGGAAGATTTAACGTACTGACCTCTTCAAATGACATATCTCCTCCAGCGAAGCTAGTCTGCTTAAACCTTTTGTTTTCTTTTTCTATTTGTTTTTGTAGAAAGGAAGAATTCTGGGTAAATCTGCAGTTGTTTTTACAGGGAAGAAATTCGTGATTTGTTGCCAGATTTATTTTTAGGGGAGGAGTGGTGAGAGATTGAAGGAAGGAGGAGGGATGGTTAGGGGATGTTTTTCTTCTTTTAATTTTTATTTATTTATTTATTATTTTATTATTTTACTATTTTTTTTTATAATTATTTTTATTTGTTTATTCATTTATTTATTTTTGGGCTGTTACATGAGATCTCAAATTGAGACGTTTCCCTCGTAAATCCGAGCATCAATTTTGCAGTTTCAAGCAATTATTGTGGTAGAATTGCATCCGAGCCCTTCAATCAAGCTTTGATCAAGTTCAATTGTGGAGTGACTCAATTTAGAACAAGGTTTCCAAATTTTGCTTCTACATCTTCTTCGATCATGGGATGTAATTATATCTCTTGTTGATCCGAATTTTATATAAGGGTGTTAATTACTTTAATTCAAAGTTTCTTGCTTCAACCAAAACTTGAATCAGATAATTAGAGATGCCTTATCGTAATCCTTTTATTTTCACAAAAGAAGAATCTATGGAGAGGGAAGTGAAGGAGAAGAAATATTTATCAATCTATTACCAAATCTATGTTTGAAAGGTTAAGGTTGAGATCTAAAATTTTCAGAACCGTTTTAGTTTCTCAATCTACTATCAGATCCACGCCCGATTTTCCATTAATTAGCTTATCACAATTTTTTTATTCTTTAAAATTAAAAAAAATTTATAAACTTTTTTTTATCATTTTTCTTTTTCCCTTTAAATTTGGCTAAATTTAAAATTCTGCACGACTTTAAAAACTATCCATAATAACCTCAAACTTTTACTGTATTTTTAAAAAAAATTAGAGAATATTAATAAAAATATGAAACTTCATATATATGTTTAATAATTTCAAGAAATTTAGGAATATTTTTATTAATTTAGCTGGAAGGATAGAACAGCCAGCGGCTGAATTTATGGAGACTTTATAAGATACAGAATCAGTGGCAAAGGATTCTATCGTTGCCCTTTCGACTGTGTCCGCTCCTTCTCCATGGAGCCCAGGAATTTGGAATCATGAGCCTCCATTAATAAGCTTTTTGAAGGTTTCGAGAGCTGAGTTCTTGTGGCCTTTTGCTGTTTTTTCCGATACTCTTGAAGCCATTTCTGAATCAGAGGTTTGTTTCTTTTAGCTGTTCTTGAAACATTTTTCTTCCGCTTTTATCTGCCTCAGATTCGCTTTTCTTTTTGTTGAATCAGCCAATTTTCGGTCCTGAGCTGTTTCCTTTTGCTTTCCAGCATTGTACCATTGAATAATTTTGTCCACTCTCTAGTTCTAGTGATTATTTTGTTGTATTTATACTAATTTGCAATGTTTTCTTGATCCGATCATGAATTTGTTCCTTTAATCTTTAGGTTTTTATCTAAAAGTAAATAGCCATTGTTTCTGCCCTGTCTACACTTTTTAATTCTTCGTTTGTAATTGTTGTGAAAGATTTGAGGCACAAACTAAAGCATGGAAGAGAAGAGTGGAATCAAGAAAGATATCACTGAAGTAATTCTCTCTTACTATGAATCTTTGAATATTTTTGAACTTGTTTGCATGTTCTTGATGTTCTTGAACTTTGCTCACTTTGATAGCATACTTTCATTTGCAGTTAATTGGTAATACTCCAATGGTATATCTAAATAAAATGGTTGATGGTTGTTTTGCTCGTATCGCTGCTAAGTTAGAGACAATGGAGCCGTGTTCTAGCGTTAAAGACAGGTTGAGAGTCTTTCTTTGTTATATAAGTCGATGGCCTGTATGATAATGTTTATGGAGCCGTGTTCTAACGTTTCTGGGACCTAATACTAATGTAGTTTTCCGATGTTTGTAACGATGGATTTTTGCTATGTTAAGTGTACTAGTTTTTCGATGTAGGATTGCGCATAGTATGATTCAAGATGCAGAGGATAAAGGCTTGATTACACCAGGGAAGGTACTATAGAATGCTTCATTTCTTTCTGTACCATTAAAAATTAGGCCACCACTTTGTATCGTTACGTATCACTGTTAGACTCAAGGTTTTAAAACGCGTCTCCTAGGGAGAGGTTTCCATAACCTTATAAGGAATGTTTTATTCCCCTCTCTCCAACTGATGTGGGATCTCACAATCCACTCCCGCTGTAGGCCCAACGTCCTTGATGGCACACTGCTCGATGTCTGGCTCTAATATCATTTGTAACACTACCAGATATTGTCCGCTTTGATCCGTTATGTATCACCATCAACCTCACCATTTGTAATAGCCCAAGCCCAAAACTGTGAGTCTGACAACGATACGTAACGGGTCAAAGTGGACAATATCGGCTAGTGGTGGGCTTGTGCTATTACAAATAGTATCAGACTCAGTCATCGGACATTGCGAGGCACTAGTCGAAGTAGGGCTAGACCCTCTCCATAATAGATGCGTTTTAAGACCGTGAAGTTGACAACGATATTTAACGGACCAAAGTAGACAATATCTACTAGCGGTAGACTTGAGCAGTTACATTGTTTGTGCTCGGTGATTATAATGCCTTGTAAAACAATTGCTAAACTTAAAGTCATGCATTTGATTAGTTACCTAATCTGTCTTATATATTCTTTTTGGTGGAAAAGACTGTCCTCGTCGAGATAACGAGCGGTAACACAGGCATTGCATTGGCAAGCATCGCAGCTGTGAAGGGCTATAGGCTTATTATAGTTATGCCAGCTTCGTATAGTCTTGAAAGACGAATTCTGCTTCTAGCTTTTGGAGCTGAGTTGCACATCACAGACCCTGCACTGGGGCTTGAAGGCCTTCTAAAGAAGGTTGGGGAGGTAATGGAAGCCACTCCCAACAGCTATTTTCTGAAGCAATTTGATAATCCAGCAAACCCAAAGGTATGATTTGTTTTGATTTGTGATCTCAAAAAGATATATAACTGAGTCAATTTGCATCCATTTCTGTTATTTAGATTCATTATGAAACCACTGGGCCAGAGATATGGAAAGATTCAGGAGGAAAAGTTGATGTGTTGGTCGTGGGGATTGGAACCGGGGGAACGATAACTGGCACAGGGAATTTTCTTAAGGAACAGAATCCAGACATTAAGGTTCGTTTCTTAGTTTGCTGCTCTAAAACCCAATACTGTCGAGTTGTTTGGTAATGTTTTTGTTTCTTTTTTCTTGCTTCTTAGTAAAAACTAAGCATAAAATAAGAAATAAGAACGTCACCAAACGACCAAATGGGCTGTTATTATTCAAGAGATCGATCAACCTTTATATACGATGTAGGTTTATGCAGTGGAACCAGCAGAGAGTGCAATGCTAAGTGGAGAACAACCTGGTGAGCTCCCATTCTGAAGCAAATTTTATTATTTTGGAATGATTTACAAAATTGAACATAAATATCACAGAGCTCGTATGGAAATCGAGCAGGTTAAAAATATATACCATTTAAATCAAGTAGCGCCTAAAGATCAGACGAAAACACTTTCTCATGATGATTAAATGATTTTTAGCCAAAGTTTGTATGCTAACATTTTCTCATGGTGATTACAGGCAAGCATCTAATTCAAGGCATTGGGGCTGGCTTCATCCCAGCTGTTCTTGATCTCAAAGTCTTTGATGAAGTCTTTAAGGTGCACCTTGAACTTATTTGTCCAAAGAAATTATTTTGATCGGTTCTCTGTTTTGCAATATTGTTTTAGATATGATCTAAACAAAAATTATATGATCATGTTAGCATACAATATGACTCAAAAGTTAGCTTAAGAGACGAGGTCTTTGCCCCTTTTAAGATTTCTTGCAACGTTTCCATGTACAATATGACTCAAAAGTTAGCTTAAGAGACAAGGCCTTTGCCCCTTTTTGAGTTCAACAACGCCTTAACTAGTTGAGCTAAGTGATTGAAACTTTCCCATTAATTTTTAAATAAACAATGAAGTCCTCATACCTTTTGTGCCGGACATTGGGAGGTGTGCTAGTGAGGACACTAAGCCCTGAAAAACGATGTACTAGTGAGGATGCTGGGTCCCAAAGGGGTGGATTGTGAGATCCCACGTCGGTTGGAGAGGGAAACGAAGTATTACTTATATGGGTGTCGAAACATCTTCCTAATAGACGTGTTTTAGAAACCTTGAGGGGAAGCCTGAAAGGGAAAGCCCAAAGAAGATAATATTTGTTAACGGTAGGCTTGGGCTGTTACACCTTCAGTGTAGAATAAACCAACACTCTTCTCGTCTTCCCCATTATAGATTTATGCTTGCAATTAGTCATGTAGACGAGTTCCGACCTCTCAAATTTCCTAAATGGCTTTGTCCTTATTTTTTGAGGTAGTAATGCAAATTTGGGTGTGTTCAGGTGACAAGTGAGGAAGCCATTGAAACTGCAAGGCTTCTTGCACTAAAAGAAGGCCTCCTAGTATGTTACTTTATCTATGAGACGCTTATTTGATGTCTTTTTGTGAAAATATAGATATTTCTTTTCTCTTTTCTGTTGTAGGTGGGGATTTCATCAGGTGCAGCAGCAGCTGCTGCAATAAAGGTTGCAAAGAGACCAGAAAATGAAGGAAAACTCATTGTTGTAAGCCATATTTTACTTTCATTTCCAAATCAAACATCAAATCTTTGCAACAAAATTTACTTCTTTTATTCTGTGATCCATTTGTAGGTCATCTTCCCGAGCTTCGGCGAGCGATATCTCTCGACAACGCTTTTTGATTCCATCAGGCATCAAGCGGAAAACATGACTTATCTATGAATTGAATGATTTGGAATTTTCTCACGTACTTTTATGTAATCAAATACTACTAACATTGGTTGCAGTAAGTTCAATGATCCTTACCATTGTATTTCCTCAACTTTTGTTGAACTAGTGTAAATGTAAAAATTGAAGCTTTCGTTTGTGTCCATTATAACTAGTTAAAACACAAGCTTTCCCTGAATGATTGTTGCCTGCAACTAATAAAGAATTTGATGCTAATAAAGAATTTGAAGTCGTTGGCATATCGTGTGTAACAAATCCTTATTAAGTAATGGGCATGAGTGCTTGAAAGTTGTCATTGTATACTCCTACGGTCAGAAGGGCATGTTACAAGAGTGGAGGTGCCCAAAAAGCATCATGATCATCTTTCATGAAGATTTTTTAACTAATGTTAATCTAGACAAGATCATCGTGATCCCTTGTTATATCTCATTCCTTTGTGCTAACTTAAACATTAAAACCAATGCATACCAATGCAAAAGCACCACACTATTGTGCAACTTCTTATACTATCATGTGAAGGTCAAATATTTTATCCAGTCTAGATTTTAGCAACAATAGTTAGCAGCGTCAAAATGGAGACGATTCAAATGAAGTCATACCTCCTTGCTCCTCATCGTTAGGAAGGGTGACCAAAGGAGGAAATTATAGAGCTCGAGAAAAGAATGGGAAGAATATATTGGCACTTTAACTTGAATTCTATATAATAATTAGCCCTTCATGTGAAGACTCAAGAAGAGTAACTTCATCAAGACACCGAAAGGAAGAGTAACAATGGTGGAGGATATGAAAGAAGCAAAAACTCATACTAAAAAAACCAAAAAGATCAAAGCACAACAAGAAGAATATTCAAGGTCAAGTACGTGGCGCAAACAATACCGATAAGTCCAAGTCGATGTTAACCCTATGACACAGTTTGGTAATGAAGCTTCAAAAAGACGATATGATAGGTTTATACCCACAAAGTCTGATCGAGATCAAGCAAAATCGATAGGTCGAGGCTAGAGTCAAAATAAAAGCCTTCCATTTAGTGTTGAATTGAATGACGGAATTTAGAAGCTTTGATGGACAAACTGATCCTCCCTTCACATATGAAATAATGAGTGGAAGTCTCCTCAATGTTAAAGGTATTCGTCTCAAAAATTAATGATGCAAAGAATGATCAAGTGGAATAGTTACTACTCACTCACATAGAGATGTTCATTTAACTCCTTAAAATTTTTTAATTTAAATTGAGATGAAGGCTATATTGTAATATTAAAATTTGAATTATGTAAAATAATATTGTAAATTCAAATGAATTTTTTTTTTCAAAAGATAATAAACTATTAAAAATTCCTCGAGAGAATCCGATTCTCGCAAATTTCCTACGAAAAATCTCTACTTTGATTTCTACAAAAATAAATAAGAATTTTAGCGATGATATAAATCTAAACCGTTGATGAGGACGAATGGAAAAAAAAATTTCAATTCCTACTCCGCCTCACCACGTGAACCTCTCTATTCACAGTTACATTGCATAGCTCAAACTACATGAAATAAGTCACATTGTTGAGCTAAGAAACTTCATTGACTCATATCTCTCTCGATCATCGTTTTGGTTTTAACTCAACATAAGATCTTATTTTAGTTGCGGTAGTGTGACATATTTCCTTTTTCGATCTACAATAAAAAAAAAAATTTATCATATCTTATGTCTAACATTTATCTATTTAAAGTGATATGATATTCTTTCACTTTTTTACGTGCTCAGCTTTAACAAATTATTTTTAGAATTGATCCGTATAGCCATTTTCAATACATTTTTTTATATTATCACCTCTTTGTCATCAACCATAGTCAATACCAAATTTACAAGCAAAGTATTTTCTTTTTTTAAATTAAACTTTGAATATTTTTTAAAGTATTTTAGAGGCTGAATTTTTGAGACAAAAAAACTCCATAAACTCATTGGCTTGCTAGAGATGTCGCACACGACCCAAGGTTGGAGGACGGCTTGGCCCTCCAAATTAGTTTTCAAGTAGAACGGTTCCCTTATGACACTCAAGTATTTCGATCTAGATAGAACTAACTGTCTTTAGAAAAAAAAAATCATTTATAACCAATTTGTTCATGCTCGAGTAAGAGTAATCCAAATAGAGGCATTTACTTACGGTCACCTTAAATACTTCAACCTAAAGATAAATTATAACCAACTCGTTCAAACCCATTAGTCTAATACAATCATAAATACAATTAATGATATAACATATACTTAATTGTTTTGTTTTTGTACTAATTCATCCGACATTTCAAATTTTCAACCGAAGTATTACAATAGACAACGTTTGAACAACTTAGAGTGACAATATGAGTAGTAGTGTATATAAACTCAGTTTTCTATTCCTTCTCTTAAAATTGAGATCGAGGTTAACTAGAAAAATGACTGTGATACCCTAATAAAGGAGGGTACGTGTACAAATTGAAATCACATCAGTATAAAAGTGACCCGTATTGATTCTCAAAATAAGCTAGTAACTTTAATTCTCGGCCTTTTTACTCCTTTTTTTCTCCCTCAAGTTTCTTAATTTTTTTCCATAGTTGGTAAGGGTCGATAGTTGATCCCATATTCCAATATTTCGCCGTACCTAATTACATTTTTCGACATTCAGCAGTGAGATCACTTACTGATTATTTTTATAAATTCAACCTACCTTCAACATTTTTTTAAGTAAAGGTAAGGACCCATGTACGGATGACGATGTCAGTTGAGAAGGTCATAAAATCCATACTCGATAGTTAATTTTTCCACATTTAAACGGTAGAATTGATGTAGGGTAATACAAGAGCTTTTTTTTAATCATGACATGTATGACATGTATGCCGTAGCGATTTTATTTTAAAATTAAAAGATTAAATTATAAATTTAGTGTTTTAATATAATATATTAAATTTAGTTTCACGTTGAAACGATAAATCCATTAAACATAAAATATTGCCAAATAAAATTCTTATTCCATACCAAATAAGTCAAAGAATAAATTGGCTCAAAGTGGATAAGCATTCACAAAGTGATTATAAAATTTCCTTTTTAATTGATTATTCATTTTCTCTATTTTTAATATATATATTCTCTTCAAGTTGGTATACCAAAAAATAAATATTCTTATCCAATGAAAAATATTTTCCTAAATTTTTGTGGGTTTTTAGATACATAAAAGTGATTATAAAATACCCTAAAATGTAATTTGAAAGCATAAAATAATGGTGGTTGAACATATGTTTTATACATCATAGGCAAAATATATACCCATTTAGAATACGTTTAATTTAAAAAAATATCTAATAGGTTCTTCAATTTTACTGAATTTTACAGAAGAAAATAGAGATATCGGTTTAAATAAAAGAGGCTTATTAGCTAAAAATTGATCAATAAATCCATTAACTAAATGGTGCAATAAATTTTTTAGGTTAATATACAAATTATTTTAATAGAAACTATGGGTTTGAATTATTTTTAAAAAATATATTAAAAATGAGAAAATTTTGGAACGAGAACCTGATGCCCGTAAAAATAGATAAAAAAAAATATAAATTTGGAATCATAAAACCTCTATAAATTAGCATTTTGGAGGTTTTGAAGAGCTCATGTCTTGTCGGGTTTTGTTGCTTTCTCTGAATTAGAGGTTTGGGAGTTCTTTTATTAGTTGTACTTTGAATGTGCTTTCTTCCCCTTTTGCATGGGGGGGTTTGGTTTAATATCAAGAAGGTGACAATGTGATAGCCATCTTTGCAAGCTCTTCACATCATGAGTATCAATTGCTTACGATATTGTCATATTAATGGCCCATGCATGTCTTTCTTCTTTCTTCTTCTTACACTTTTTAATTCTTGGTTTGTAGTTGTTGCGAAGGATTTGAAGAACAAACTTAAGCATGGAAGAGAAGGGTGGAATCAAGAAAGATATCACTCAAGTAATTCTCTCTTACGATGAGTTTGACGATGAACATGTTGTTGAGTTATGCTCACTTTAATTGCGTTCTTTTTTCGTTTGCAGTTAATTGGTAATACTCCCATGGTATATCTAAATAAAGTGGTTGATGGTTGTTTTGCTCGTATTGCTGCTAAGTTGGAGACGATGGAGCCTTGTGCTAGCATTAAAGACAGGTTTAGAGTCCTTTCTAATAAAATCGATCGTTTGTATGAAAAAACCTAAAGGGGTGAAAAAAGCGTTTTTTTAAGTGATTCAAAAGTTAAAAAGTTATTCGAAACTTATTTTATTAGGATTTTTAGTAATGAAGAGCACAATGATTTACTAAGTAAGAATTAAGGGAAAATAAAAATCAACCCAAATAAAAAGATATGACTATCGTTTTGAAATATTAGAAACAAAAGCATTATCAAATAGAATGTGATTTTGAAGCAATGGATCGTTTAGATATAAAGTGTGTTGGATATGGCCCAAGATCGAGTTGAAATATATTGATATGAGATCTCACAATCAACCTCCTTTCTTTCGGGACCCAGCATCTTCACTGACACACTGCCTAGTGTCCATCCCCCTTCGAGCTTAGCATCCTCGCTAGCTTCGTTCCCCTCTCCAACCAATGTGAGATCTTACAATTCACCCCACTTCAGGGCCCAGCGTCTTCGCTGGCACACTACCTGGTGTCCACCCTCTTTTGGGGCTCAACGTCCTCGTTGACAAACCGCCCTGTGTCTGACTCTGATACCATTTGTAATAGCCTAAGCCCACTGCTAGCAGATATTGTCCTCTTTGAGTTTTCCCTTTCGGATTTCTCTCAAATTTTTAAAACGCATTTGATAGTGAGAGATTTTCACACCCTTATCAAGAAAGTTTCGTTCTCCTCTTTAACCAATGTGAGATCGCACCGTTAATAACTTCTTTTGTTAACTCAAGCTTATTAACTCATACATATTTTCGATACAGGATCGCACACAGTATGATTCAAGACGCAGAGGACAAAGGCTTGATTACACCAGGGAAGGTACTATAAAACACTTCATTTCTTTCTCAATCATTTGAATAAGCAAAAATCTTTGTGTAAACCAATTTATCCGCTACCTAATCCGTATATTCTTTTTCGTGCAAAAGAC